TTAGCAGTCTGTATAAACCATCCCCTCTTCAGTGAATCCTTCTGGGAAGCAGAGGTGACTAGGCATGGAGACAGTTGTTTACTGCCTGGCCTTGCATCATGCCGATCTCATTTCCATCCACAAATGATACAGTTGTTTTAGTGTGGCACACACCTGTAATCCCAACACTCAGGAGGTGGAGCCAGGAGAATTGAAGTTTGAGGCCAGCCTGGGCTACATAGTGAGTTTCAAGCCATCCTAGGATACATAGCAAGATCTTGTCTCAAACAAAACAAAATGGTTCCCAAGGAATGGCTTGAACTGTACTTGCCATCTTCCCTAATTTATATTTTAATATCATTTAATTGAAATATGATCAAAATATTTCTGGTCATTGCATTGGCATGAAAATTTAGGAGGGATTGAGGTTTTGCCATTTTCTCCAAGATCTTGTGGGCACATCAGATCCTAGGGTGACAGATGAAGGTGTTATTGGCACCTTGGTACTGGCTTCATGTGGGTTGCTGTATTTCATCTACAAGAGCTTCTAAGATGTGGCATTTTGGAGGCTGGTGGGATGGCTCAGTGGGTAGAAGTGGTTGGTTGTAAAAATCTGAGTTCAGCTTCAGAACTGAAGTTTCATCCCTGGAGCCCACAGTGGAAGTAGAGAACTGACTCTGAAATCTATTTTCTGATGTCCACATACATGCATGCTTGCCCCCCCCCCCATCTATGCAGCAATAATACATAGAATGAAACTGTTGGGAGATATTATTTTAAGGTATGTTACTTTGTTTCTGTTGCATTTGTTTAGCTCTGTGAAGCTGTGTTACTGTGCCTGTCTAAAACACCTGATGGTCTAATAAAGAACTGAACAGCCAATAGCAAGGCAGGAGAAAGGATGGGTGGGGCTGGCAGGCAGAGATAATATATAGAAGGAGAAATCTGGGAGGAGAAAAAAAGGAAGTAGCCAAAGAAGGAGGTTGACATCAGAGGCGAGCCACCCAGCTACATAGCAAGCCATGGTGTAAGAGTAAGATTTATGGAAGTGAGAGAATTGGAAAAGCCTAGAGGCAAAAGACAGACTGGTTAATTTTAAGTTAAGAAAAGCCAGCAAGAAACAAGCCAAGCTAAGGCTGGGTGTTTATAATTAAGAATAAGCCTCCATTTGTGATTTATTTGGGAACTGGGTGGTGGGCCCCCCAAAAGAGTAAAAAACCCCAACAAGATTAAACATTCTTTGATGTCTACATACATGCATGCACACATACACATATCCATGAAATAATAATTAGAATAAGACATGTAAACAATATTTTTAAAGAGCAAACTATTAATTTGAATTCACTGTAACTTAAAAAAAATCTGATATTGGGATGGTATTGTGTTCCCAAAAATATTGTGTACCCTAATAAACTTATCTGGGGTCAGAGAACAGAAAAGCCATTAGATACTTAGGATAGGCAGTGGTAGCACACGCCCTTAATCCTAGCATTCCAGAGGCAGAAATCCATGTGTTCAAGGATAAGCTAAGCATGGTGACTCTTGCCTTTAATCCCAGAAAGTGAGCCTTTAATCCCAGGGAGTGGGGCAGAAAACAGAAAGATATATAAGGTGTGAGGACCAGAAACTAGAAGCATTTGGCTGGTTAAGTTTTTAGGTTTTTGAGCAGCACAGTTTAGCTAAGAGTCATTTGGATATGAGGACACAGAGGCTTCCAGTCTGAGGAAACAAGATCAGCTGAGAAGTTGGCCAGGTGAGGTTAGCTGTGCTTATTCTGTCTGTCTGACCTTCCAGTGTTCACCCCAATAACTGGCCTCAGGTTTGATTTTATTAATAAGACTCTTTAAGATTCATGCTACATTGGGACTGGAGAGATGGTTTCAGTGGTTAAGAGGGCTTTTTGCTCTTTCAGAGGACTGTGGTTCAGTTCCCAGAAATCATATTGGGTGGCTTCAAACCACAGGTAACTCCAGATTCATTGGATCTGATGCCCACTGTGTGCACCACACACATGCACACATGTACATGCACATACATATTAACAAAACATGTCTATAAAATGTGTATCATTGCTGTTTAGAGCAATGTCTAGGCATTCAACTCTTGAGCTAGATTGACTCTTCCTCTCTCTTTTTGCATTTATCTATCCCCTTGTTTTTTTTTTTTTAGATGATTTTGACATGTGGATTCAATTTCTTTAAATATATATTCTTTTAATTTTCCAGTTTACCCTCATGACATTTTTTTCAGTGATGTTTTCATAGAAGTTTTCCTTTTGAAACTTAATAATGTATCAACCTAGAGTAGTTGAACATTTCATAAATCTTTTTAGGGTTTGTGGGACCCACAGTCCTTTTAATAATTTTTGTTGTTGTTGTTGTTTTTCGAGACAGGGTTTCCCTGTGTAGATTTGTGTCTTTCCTGGAACTCACTTGGTAGCCCAGGCTGGCCTCGAATTCACAGAAATCCGCCTGGCTCTGCCTCCCAAGTGATGGGATTAAAGGCGTGCGCCACCACTGCCCACCATAATTTTTTTAATATTTTAAAATTTAGGAAAATACACAAAATCTGAACATGCATATGTATGTGACTGGATGGGTTTGGAGATGAAACTACTATTGCAGTTTACAGAGATTTTGTTTATTTATATTTTAAAGATGTATTTATTTTTATTTTATGTATATGAGCATCTTGCCTGAATGTATGTATGTGTACCACATGTGTGCCTAGTGCCCATGGAGACCAGCAGAGAGCATCAGGTCCCTTGAAACTGGAGTTAAAGATGGTTGTGAGCTGCCATGTGGGTGCTAGACACTGAACCTGGGTCCCTGCAAGGTCAGCCAGTGCTCTTAACCCCTGGGCCATCTCTCTAGACCCCATTTATGTACTTTTACATTATGTTTATGTGTATGCGAGTGTGGATTTGTGCACTTGAGTACAGTTGCTCATAGAAGACAGAAGAGGACATAAGATTCCCTGGGCCTCGAGTTACAAATGTCTGAGACTCCTGATGTGGGTGCTGGGAACTGAACTCCTTTGGGAGAGCAGCTGGTGCTCTCAGCTGCCCTCTCTAGCTCCCCTTTCCTGGAAACCCTAACCATAGTGAGTCCAGCTACTATTTCTGATGCCATCCCCAGTGATCTCTTGTGCATTTGCTTCTGGTTTTGTCTTTTTCGGCCTTTGGTAACATCTTGTCCTCTTGTGTGTCTTACTATTTTAGGTTCTCGTTCCAGAGATTTTACACGAGGATGGGAAGTAATTGGAGGGATAATTGAGGCCCTGGATGGCAGCTTCTTCCTCTCTAGAGTATATCGTTATCCTTTGCTTTTCCATTAGATAGGGACAAGCCACTTCAATCCATTCAGAAACTGAAGTATCTGAGGTTGAGCTTCCTGAGAGGCTGGCCTGTCTCTGGTTCTCCTGGAAGGCAGTAGCTCTGGTGTGTGTGTACTACCACCCTTCCTCATGGACCCTGGGTTTACATTTTTATCTTTCTCTACCTGTAAGGATACCACAAGCTTGGCCTGTGTATTGCCTCTCATCTACTGTTGTAGAATTAGAATAGGACTTGAGTGGCACCCCATATTCCTGCTATGTGCTGCCCCACTTTCCCAAACCTTGGCCTCAAGAATTCTCAGTTGTACCATACTTCTCTGATAATTTCAGAGAAGAATGTGTGCTTGCATATCTGTGTGTATGTATGTGTGCGCACTATATATACACATATATGTATATGTGTATCTATATATGTCTCTATCTACCTCTCTACCTACCTACCTACCTACCTATCTATCTATCTATCTATCTGTATATATTTGATACACTCTGCAGATTTTCTAGTTGTTCTTGCCAGGAAGGTAAGAGGGAGGGCCTAGGACATGTAGACATCTATAAGTGCTGGATTTGTAAGTTCTGGAAACACTGACTCCTTACAGAGCAGAGCATGCGGGCTTCTCTTTAAGCAAAGGGTCTAGTCAGTCATGGTTGGTAGTGAAGCTACTGGCTATGGCCTGAGGTCTTCTTGGACTGGGTCTTCACCTTTGAAATTTCTATATTTGTTGGGCCAGCTTTCTCACTTCTTGCTGTTGACCTGCTGTGTCAACAGGGCTCTGCTGTGTGTGGTTTTTAACCTATGGGTTATGACCCCTGGGAGGCAGATCAAATGACCCTTTCACAGGGTCACCAAAGACCATCAGAAAACACAGATTGTGGTGATATATTATGTACCCTAATAAACTTTACCTGAAGGTCAGAGGACAGAACAAGCCACTAGATTAAACATAGAGGCCAGGCAGTGGTGGCACACACCTTTAATTCCTTGCGAATCATATACCTTTAATCCCAGCACTTGGGATCTCATGCCTTTGCTTGGGAAGTCACATGCCTTTAATCCCAGCACTGAGAAGGAAATGATATGGTGGGCAGAGAAAGGTATATAAGCCGTGAGGAGACGGGAACTAAGGCTTTTTGGCAGGAGTGTCCCTTTCGGCTAGAGGCCTGTCGGCTGAGGCTCTTTCAGGCTGAGGAGTTGGTGAGGTAAGAGGTGGTAGCTGTGGCTTGCTCTGCTTCTCTGATCTTTCAGCTTTCACCCAAATATCTGGCTCCGGGTATTTTTATTAAAAGACTGATTTGATTCGAGTTACAACAGATATTTACATTATGATTTATAACAGTAGCAAAATTACAGTTATGAAGTAGTAATGAAAACAATTTTATGTTGGGGTCACCTCATCATGAAGAACTGGATTAAAGGGTCACAGCAATAGGAAGATTTAGGACCACTGGTCTAGAGTAAGACATTTGATCTGTATGTCACTAAAGCCACTACCATTCCACTGCACAGTTTCACCCACCCAACATTATCTCCTGACCTGTCCTCTGTCCCTGTCCCCTGGAGCACAGAACCATCTCTGGTTAAGAACCACTCTGTTCTGCCAGTTCATCCACTGATGGCCCTTCAAGCCTCACTTGTTGGCATTAGCATTGTTTCTAACGTGGACTTTTACTTTTAACCACAGGGTTCGAAACCGCCAAGTCCTTTGCCCTCCATGGTGCGCACGTGATCTTGGCCTGTAGGAACATGAGCAGAGCCAGTGAGGCAGTGTCTCGCATTCTGGAAGAATGGGTAAGTGCCCGGCTGCTTTGTGTTTTAATTGTCCAATGTGTACACCAGGCTGAGTGCACAGAGGTTTCAGCACAGTGCGTAAAGTTTATTGCTTTTGGAATACTGTTTTTGTTTTTAAAGTCATCTTCACATTGTTTACTTTATGAAGAAAAGGACGAGTGAGACAGTTATTACCCATGTATTTGTTTATAGTTCACTGTCGGTGTCGTTGGCTTTATTACTTGGAGATTTGAGATTGTTTACTTATTTAAATCTTTTATTAAGAGAAATAAAAATAGCCAATGCCCATGAATGCAGTTGGGATGTGTGTGTGCTCATACGACATTGTTTTTCTACTTCTGCAGTTATTTACTTATGTATTTCACTTTTCACAGTTTCATAGATGTGTGTTATGCACGTTAGTCATTTTCATTGTCCATTACCCTCTCTAATCCCTCCTCCTCCTCCTTCTGCTGAAACCTTTCTTCCCTATGGGTCCCTCTTTGCCTTCATGAAGTTAGGAGATAAGCTGTGCAAACAGCAGGGAAATGACACAGAAGGGCCTGCCCATAGAATTCAAGGGCTGTCCGAGAGTCACAAGGAAGAAAGGTGATAACATCTGGATGAGTCTTCTGTTCCTGCAGAATGAGAAGGGAAAAATAAAAAGTAAAAGTCCTCCCTGGTCCTTGAAAGGTAAACATCCTTAACTATTTCTTGGGCACTCTTCCAGAAAAAGGTTTCAGATATAAGCAAACATGTGCACACGCTGTTCTGTGCTTTGATTGTCTCACTTAATACACCACAAGATCTTTCTGTGGGGTGTCTAAATAGACTTGGGTTAGGGCTTTGCTCACTGGGGTACAGTTCCTGATAAAAGCAGCTCAGGAGGAGAGAACGTTTGTTTTGGCCCGGATTTCAGCCTAGAGCTGACTGGCGTCTTTGCTTTTAGACTGATGAGGAGAAAAGCCATCATGGTAGAAGGGCATGGTGAGGAAGAAAGTGTGCCAGAAAGAGGAGGAGAAAGAGGGAGAAAGGGCGGGAAGAAGGAAGTGATGTGACCAGGGGAGAAGGGATTGATTGATTGATTGGGGTTTAAGTGTATCTCTCTAGGACACCTCATGCCTTAGTGATCTGTTTTCTTCAACTAGGCTCCCCTTCCTAATTCCCAGCACCTTCCAACAGTCCATCAGATTCTGCATCAATCAATGGACCTATCCATCCATGAAGTCAGAATCTTTGACTAGATCAGTCAAGTCCCCCATAGCTGCACAAATATGAACTCTGCTGCATTATGGGACAAGCCTTCAATACATGAGCTTTTTGGAGGAACATTGCAGCTCCAAACCATGCATGTCCATTCCCTTTCATGGTTACATATGATTTCAGTGTGTGCTTATGCGTTAAGTTAACCATATGGGGTGCCTGAGGTTGTTAGCATTCTCTGCTATTCCAGGTGATTCAGTGTCACTCTGTCTCCCGCATCAGATGGTCTCACAATTTTATGTGAAACTAGGTCTACTGTGTGTGAACTGTTTTCAGTAGTTAAGTCCATGAGCTTACCCATGGGGCTGAATCTTAGCTGCAAGCTCCCGATTCCCTGGGCTACATATGCAGTTAAAATTTTGATGGCCTAGTAGTTGCTGCATTGTCCATTGCTATTGATGATGTAGAAAAGTTCAAAGGGTGGCTCAGGGATGGTCAGGCTTCTCAGATTTTGTTTGTTTGAGTGAATGCTGTGTTTCAAATTGGAATAGTACAATTCCAGTGACTTCAGTGAGTCTGCAGTTAGCATATGTACAAGGATATTAATGTTGAAGCTGGTCTCAGAAGGGAACACCAAAATGAAATTGCTTTTCATCTTTAAATTGATATTTTTCTTAGAATACATGGGAGCAGACTAGTCTGTTCTATTTTGATATCTTATATTTGTCTATCCCCGATTTCCATCTGTCCATCTATTTATTTATCATCTATTTATATCTCTCACCTATCATCTATATCATCTCTCTCTCTCTCTCTCTCTCTCTCTCTCTCTCTCTCTCTCTCTCTCTCTCTCATCTGTCTGTCTATCTGTTTGTCTATCTGTCATCTAACTCTCTTTGATCTGTCAGTTATCTGTATGTCTCTCCATTTAGCTTTCAGCAATCTCTGTCTCTCTCTGTCTCTGTCTGTCTGTCTGTCTCTCTTTCTTTTCAGGCAGGGTCTCATTGTGCAGCTCAGGGTAGTTTTGAACTCATAGTAGTCATCCTACCTCTGTCTCTTGAGTTCTGGAATTATAGGCATGAGCCACCACACTTGTCTTGATTCCATTACTGTTTGATACATAGAGGCAGAAATTTCTGGATCTACCCTAATGAGCTATAGGCCCTTGGGCAAGTCTCTTAATATATCCTGCATATCCCTCATGAAGAAGGTTTAATGAGATGATCTCAGAGACCCAGCATTTACTCTCTCTTCCTTCCATGTTAGGTCATAACTCTGACCCTATGAGGCAGCTTCAGAATTGTCACTGTGTAGGTTCACCAAACAGTTCTGTGATGTGGAGTAGCAATCCTAGAGGAATGATTACCCCAAAACATTCAAGTTAAGGACCTGGGAACAAGAACCACAAGTGAAAACAAATGTCTTCCATGCAGTTTCAAACACTGAAATTGCATCATGGAGGGTTTGCACTATAGAAACTCAACCCTTTTGTCCTACCTCACTGGTGTACTTATTCTCTGTGTATTCTCACTCTCCCAAGATGGTGATTACAGAAGCCCAGATTTAGCACATAAAACCATGGTTACCATTTCCTGTCACTGCCTTGTCCCTGCAATGTAGAGACCTAATACTGGTCACCTTCCTTATGTTTCCACTCCACACATTCCCCACATGCTTATCCTTGACCTTGCTGGTCTGGTTTTCTTCAGGCCCCTCCTTCTTTCACATCTCTACACAGGGCTCTCATCTGGCATTTGAGTAAGGATTGTCAAGGTCAATTTGATCCACTGCAGGTTTTCAGTCTTTGAGCCAGCTTGAGTGTTCATACTTTACCTTGGATGGACCATATCTCTGTCTCGCTGGGGAGGTACTGAGACATATTGCCACCCTGTGGGAGGCTCTCAGAGTGGTCCAGGGTTTTTTGTTGCAGCAAGAGCTCATTCAAAAGTCCCTGGGCATTTTTGGCTCCAGATTGACTTTCAAATGCCAAGGCTCTGTGGGCATCTTCAGCTCAGTTCTGGAGATGGAAATGGTTTCTTTATTCACTCAGCTTGTTTCTCCCAACCTGGGATTTCTCTTCCAAGTTCCACTGTACCTTCCAGGATCACAATGTTCCCAGTGCTTCATGTCTATGTTGGCCAGTGGAATGATTTTCTCGGTTCACAGTGTTGGAGCAGCTGATAGCCCTCATTCATAGAATTCCTGTCATATCGTATGTGCAGGCATGGCCCGTTACAACAAAACAACCTAGTCTTCTTCATTTCACAGAGGAGTCCAGGAATAGCTCTGCCAGAGGAGTATAGTGCCCAGAGCCACATAGCTCATGACCTCAGAGACAGGGCTTTGTTTATGCCATCTGCCTTGAAGATGAGCTTTTCTGCGGGTCACATCCTTAGCTGGCAGTCTTTGCTTTACATCCTTTGGTGACGCCCAAGTGTTTTATTTCAAGACCCAGTCATATTTAGAGAAAGCAACTCCTTGACATGGACATAGCCACACCTCTCCTTCTCTCTCTCCTCCCCCACTGCTTCTCCTCCTCCTTTTCATCTATCTCCTCCTCATCCTGTGATAGGGTCTCAATCTGTAACATGTTCTGGCTGGGTATTCACTATGTAGTCCTGGCTGGCCTTGAACTTATGACATTCCCGTTTTAGTTCCTCAAGTAGTGAGATTACTGGTGTGCACCACTAGATCCAGCACCGGTTCTTTTCAGTGCCCAGAGCTGATCTGATATTGAATTTCTCATGACAACCCAAACATCTCTGCACATATCCAGATGCTTTCTAGGAATAGGGTGACCCATTCCTGGCTAATTATCACTGTCATACAACTATCCTGTAGAGCTGGAGAGTGATTGAGAGTGTGTATTGCTCTTGTAGGGGGACCTGAGTTTGGGTCTCAGCACCCACGTTGGACAACTCACAGTTGCCTATAACTATAGCTTCAGGGAATCCAGTGCCCTCCTTTGGTGTCTGTGGGCACCTGCACTTACACACACAACTCATTCAGGTACACATTCATGCATAATAATAAAAAATAAAAATAAAATGTATGTTGGCAAAGATTAGGAACAGCTACACACTATGACTTTGGGAAAGTGTCTGAACTTCTGGAAATTTCAGCTTCTTTATCTGCATTTTAATGCAGATTATAGTGTGTTTCAAGACATAGGTGGTTTGTAGTAAACACAGTGGCTATGTGTAAGTAAATTATTAACAGATGGTGGAACAAGATTCAGTGCTCAACTAAATGCCAGCTGCCTTGATTAGTAATAGTGATGAAGAGAATAATTCCTTAGGTACACATGGAGAGCACAGTGAAGCTTGCTTTTCTTACCCTCAATGAGTGGTTGAGAGGTAGGCTATAAGGAGGATGTTCACCAACACAATTTAAGTGGAATCACAGTGAATTGTTTTCCTGACTTTTTATGTCTGGACTCCTACATTTTAATAGATGTGCATTTAGTTGGTTGATCAGTATTTTTTAGTGCACTTCATATTAGCTCTCAACTGTCATTTGAAAAGCTGTCTTAATTATTTATGTGATTGCTTTTCTTTTTGTGTTTATAAAGAACTGCCCTTTGCATATATCCAGGAAAGGTGATTAAGGGCTCAGTCACCAGGAACGGCAAGCAATGGTTATGGAGAAAGGAGGGAGATGAGAGATTAAAAAAAAAAAAAGCAAAAGATTTATTAGTGATGGTGATGGAATGTGTATGTGGCAGAGGGAACACATGCTGGGTTGATTGTAGCCACCTGATTTGATGTCGCAGTGTTCAATTACCCCAGTTGTTGATGGTGTTGGTTAAGTCTGTTTAT